AGTTCGTTATTTATGAAATGTTCAAAACGGTTACTTGGTTAGGAATGCTAACGGTTGCTAATCAATCTCAAATTTCTGCAACAGTCATCTGCATGATCTGGGCAGGCAGCCATGTATGTAAGGGTGCATTAAATATTCCTGTCCACCACCTATTGATGACATATCAACAACTCTAGCACAGGGCAAAGCAGGGATATATTAAGTTGAGACATGTCTTGGTTTGTAGGCTTTTCAAGGTAAATTAAACGAATACAATTCTGTTCAGTTGAATGATTTACTAAAAAATTTAACCATTGCCCTCCACAGGAGAGGCAAACCTTGGATGGAAATACTTCTTTTTATTCAATTCGAGGTATTCCTACCTTTAGTCTAAAGATATAGCAATTTTGCTCTATAAACTTCCAAATAAAATTCAGCAGGTATGTTCAATGGATGAAAAACCAGGTACTAGTTTTAATTTTCTTTTTAAAGATATAAATCTTACCTCTTCTCTTCAACCCTATTTACCTTCCATTCTGTTTCTGAGTTTCCTTAAATCAGTGCTACCCATGACCAAGAAAATTTTGCTGACCACCACTTTTTTTTTGGCTTAAGGCGGGGGCATACTCTGTGCATTGAAGCCAGTTCTCCAAACCAGCATTAAATTGATGCAGTACTAAAATATAGGATATATATATATATATATGTAAATATAGTGGCTTATCTACAGGGTGGACTAAAATACTGATCACGAAAAAGGAAAACTGAAAATATCAAATATTTAATCTCATCCAAGTGTTCCTATTTGTGATTAAATGAAAAGCATTTCCAGTGATCAGGGACGGGTTATAAAATTACAACAAGAAGAGGGGGAAAAATACTAACTGCAATATAACAGAAATTCAAAATAGCAGTCTAATCAAGAAGTTTCTGCTGATAATTTGTTCTTTGTTTATACTAAAATAAAAGTTGTAGTGTGAAGGTTAAGAGTGATTTTTGTATGAACAAGTATTTGACTTTTTAAAACCCTGAATGCATTCAATTTAGACATTTGGTGTCTGCATCTGACTTTAATAAATAAACTGTAAAGTAATGCATGGTGATGACACACATTCCTGACACATGCCTGCTTCAACAATGTTCTGAGCAACACACCTCCAAAGGGAAAGGGATGGCAAATCCATGTAAATCTTAAACTCACTTCAGCTAGAAAATAATGAAAATAGGTTAAATTTTATCTTTTCTCCCCCGAGGAAAGGGGCATGTGACTTTAAAAGAAAATACATTTTTCTCCCAAACTGATGACAAAACCGGTCCATTTTCAATGGCTTCTTTAAAATTTAAAATGACACAGAATAATTTAGCTTGTCCATTTTTATTGTGCGTATCCATCTGAAGCTCAAGAATAGTTCAGTCATTCCAGTGGTTCACTGGTCAGCATTGCATATATAGTTCATCCCAAAGACTACTTTGGAAAAAGCACACTATTAATGTGTGCAAAATATTGGCAGCCAGCACACCACCTTCTATTAACAACCCAGAACAAGTTGCCGTACATACCTACTGTGAATAACATGCATTCTAAACATTTTTATGCTTTGGCAAGCACAGGAAACTTCTTTTAAAATAAACTCCTTACTGCTAAGAGGGTCAAGACCTTCAATTTCTTGTATCTTTTAATAAATGCATAGTACCGCACCATCCAGTGAAGACATTACAAGGAAAGATACAATTTGTAGTGTTTCCAAGACATTCTCACATAGTGACATCATTTGGAAGCTTCAAATTTGACGTGGCCAGAGTGGGGGAGCTGAGAGATTTTGGTGGTAAATTGGTGAAAATGTTCAATTTTCAGAGTGTTTTGGAAACCTCTCCTCTGATTTTTGAAGCAAGAATTGCACAAGGGTTAATCAGTCAGGCCATGCTCACCATTCAAAATCGCAAGGCAGAGGGTTTCGGTTTCTGAGTTCAGAGGGGAGGGAAGCTGAATTGGAATTAGAAATTAATACAAGTGAATGAATCTAAAAGGCAGAGGAAGCACAGGTTAGATAAGACAGAAGTGAGTTTAGCAAGGCTAGATGGAATATATTTTAATGTAAGGAGCACGAGAAACAAGATAGATGAGCTGAAGGCACAGATAGACACATGGGAGAACGATGTCTTAACTGCAGCTGAGATTTGGCTAAAAGACAGACAGGACTGGCAGCTCAACATTACTGGTATAGGGTATTCAGACAAGATAGAAAGAGGGAGAGAGAGGAAGTGGGTGTCACAACGATTCAAGGAATTAATTATAGTAGTGGGGAGGGATGCTATCAAGGAAGAATCAAGTGAAGTCATATGGGCAGAAGTAAAAACGCATAAAAGATTCAACATATTACGGGGTGCTGCAGCTCTATAAAACTCTGGTTAGACCACACTTGGAATATTGTGTTCAGTTCTGGTCACCTCTTTATAGGAAAGATGTGGAAACTTTAGAGAGGGTGCAGAGGAGATTTACCAGGATGCTGCCTGGACTGGAGGGCAGGTCTTATGAGGAAAGGTTGAGGGAGCTAGGGCTTTTTTCATTGCGACTTGATAGAGGTTAGATAAGACAGAAGTGAGCAGAGGCATGGATAGAGTGGATAGTCAGAGATTTTTTCCCACAGCAGACATGACTATTATGAGGGGGCATAATTTTAAGGTGAACTGGAGGAAGGTATAGGGGAGATGTCAGAGGTAGGTTCTTCACACAGAGAGTGGTGGGCGTGTGTAATGCGCTGCCGGCAGTGGTAGTGGAGTCAGATACTTGAGAGACTTTTAAGCGACTCTTGGATAGGCACATGGAGGATAGTAAAATGTGGGGTATGCAGGGTAGATTGATCTTAGTAGGATAATAGGTCGGCATAACATGGTGGGCCGAATGGCCTGTACTGTGCTGTACTGTTCTATGTACTGTAGGCCACCAAACAGTCAAGGAGAGAATGGGGATCAAAATGTAATCAAATTTCATAAGTGTACAAGGTAGCGAAAGGGCAAAATTCTTCCATTATAATCAGGAGAACTTTTGTAGCCAGTATACAGAAAGCTCAATAAGGGAGGAGTTCCCAATACTTGTATATTAAGGCATATCAACAGGTGAGCACTGTGGTGACAGTGACCAGAACTTAATTAGTTGTAGGATCTCCTTTTGGAAAAAGACAAGGATGGGCCAGGAATAAAAATTCTTAACTGATAGAAAACTAAGTTTACCAACAGAATATATGATTTGGTCCACGCGGTCCATAAACAGCGGTTTGCAGATAAACTTTGTCAGAGCAGAACTGTGGGAGGTACACAAGGGAAAAATTAGCAAGTATGCAGGCCAAATATACTCCCATAATGGCAAAGGGTGCGACCAAGATTGGAGATCCCTGAATGGTAAGGGACATAACAGTTGGCATGGCCAATCCATCTAACCTGCACATTTTTGGACTGTGGGAGAAAACCGGAGCACCAGGAGGAAATCCATGAAGATACAGGCAGTCACCCAAGGCTGGCACTGAGAGGCAGCAGTCATAACCACTGTGCCCCTTTTTTTAAAAATTCACATGATCTCTATCATAGAATCCTTACAGTGTGGAAGAAAGCAATTCGGACTATCAAGTCTGCACTGACCCTCTGAAGAGCATCCATCCAGAGCCTGTTACCCACCCTACCCATTTTTTATTTTACCAATGGCTACTCCACCAGCCTGCACGTTCCCGGACACTACAGAGTAATAACAAGAGAATTAACATAAAAGGTAAAAGGTTAAGAGGGCAGTTGAGGAGAATTATTTTTTCTGAGGGGGTAAGCAGTCTAAGTCTCACTGCCTGAAAAGGTGGTTAAATCACAAACAGGGGGAGGCGATGGCACAATGGTATTATCATTGGATTGTTAATCCAAAAACCCAGCTATATGTTCTGGGGACCCAGGTCTAAATCCCATGATGGCAGATGGTGGAATTTGAATTCAATAAAAATCTGGAATTAAGAATCTAATGATGAAAACAAATTTATCATTGATTATTGGAATCTGGTTCACTAGTGCCCTTTAGGGAAGGAAACTGCCATCCTTACCCGGTCTGGACTATATGCAACTCCAGACCCACAACAATGTGATTGACTCTTAACTGCCCTCTGGGTAATTAGGGATGGGAAAAAATGCTGGCCTGGCCAGTGATGCCCTCATCCCAAAAATGAATAAAACAAAACTCATAGCTTTTAAGCAGCATTTAAGTATTGACTTGCATTGCCATACCTTCAGATTATGGGCCAAAAGCTAAAAAAAAGTATAATTAATGTAGTCAGATCTTTGTTGACCAGTATGGACATGATGGGCCCAATGGTTTCCTCTGTGCTATGTCCAAGAGTAATGGCTGTTAACATATGGTTGGAGCTATGCTGCTCAAGAGCTCACAATTTCAGAAAGACAGAATCATAGCCCACAGTTTGGGAACTCTGCAGAGTGAATTTGAAAGATTTTCCCAAGTGATGTAAAAATTAAATTGTACAGATTTGTCAAGACACACAGATTAATTCAAAAATTGAGTTTAGAAAAGAAGCACGTATAAATGCATTAGCAAGAGTGGCATAGAGAAGGTAGTGCTTGAAACAACTTTGTGTAAATGGGTAAGTCTGGACTGAAATCAATGTAGAAAAATGAAATAGGAACTATTGTCAGACGTGCACAGAAAGGGTTTTAGTAGCTGACAGATTATAGCCAAATACAAGTTCAAATATAGAAAACTTCAAGTCAATGCAAATTTAGATTAAGCTTATTAATGCTTGAAATATTTTGTTTTAAAATAGTTAATGCCATTTCCAATGTGGCCCATCTTCAGAATTTTACAAACAACTGGAATTGGATTTTCTTAATACTCTAAACCTATACTAATATTTCCAATTTCATTTTCCACATTACACTTCTGCCCCTGCACATCATTCCCAGTTGAGAGCACGCTGCCTGCCAATTCTCTCTTCAGCCACTGAGTGGATTGTAGTGTCTCCAATTTTCTTTCTCCCTCTTCCCTGTGGGAAATTAGGTGCCACTGCTGTACTTGACAGAAAATTTGCAATTAGGAATTTCCTCAGTAGGCGACCGTGTTGACATATCCGACCAGCCCCTGAAGTACAACAATATTATATATCACATTTTTCACAACACTTAGACTGAAGGAGTCAATATCATTCAGTTGCCATAGCACTGTGAAAAAATATTTTCAATTGGCTTTAATACCACGAATTTTGAAAACTGGCAGTGACATTTATTGAGTAAAAAGAAAAATTGGTATTTTTTGGTACGGCCAGAACTCAGGGGCCATCCCATGATGGAACCTCAAAAAAGTCATCACTTTTATCAAGGGCCGTACTGTAAGAGATGGGGAGCAGCACATTTCTAAAATAAGTGCCCAAGCAACAAATCATTCTTAAAAATGTAACAGCTTTAACATAATAAAATTTTCAAGTTCCTATTGTGAGCCCAGGTTCAAATTATATCAGCTATAATCCTGAGGTATCCATTATCTTCTTTTTCTCAAGCTAGCAAAGTTTATTCACTGAGAATTTCAGCAAAATATTAATGAATTGATCCAATACATCTTATACAGGTACAGCAGTTTGAATTTTTGTCATATAAATCATGATTGGAAGAATGCGTTTATTACATTTCAGAATACAGCTGAATGACATTTCTCATTTTCTGTCCCTCATAGCTATCTTTCACAATTAACATTAAATCCCATTGCTTTCTGCCGCAGTCTGCTATTACATAAATAAAACATTGTGGCAGTGAGCTGCCAGCTTTGATTTATACAACGTGCTGCAGTAAAATTGATGAAGTTCTCATCATGCTTTCATAACTTTGTAAGAATTAGCTATGTATATTATATACTGCTTCACAGAAATGCACGAACACCATCAAGATCAATAGTTGGAGATAATTTTAAATATAGATATCTATTTTGATTGTTCATAGTTTTAATGTCAGCTATATGAAAAAAAGTTTTCTGGTTGTTAAATAGTCTACATTTTCCATGTCCTTGAACATCCAGAGCCAACATTTATATGCAACTTCCATGACTGCCTCACTTGGCATCTGAAAAACAGAATCATTTTAGGCTTGTCCTCAGCAAATGGCTGTCAGCTCTATTAAAGTGCCCAATTTTGATTCTAAAACTTAAGCCTCTGTAACAAATCTTTCAATAACTCATATTAACTTAAGGTATAATTTTAAGATGGAACAGTATCAGAAAGCAGTCATAATATTCAGAAATAAAAAGAATTGCTATAATTTCCTGGTTAAGTTAAATTGGTATTCAACTAGTATTCAAGTAATCAGGTTTAATGCTCTGTATGTATTTATTCAAATTCAAAGGTGTGAACTTGAGCAAAAGTTTTACTGAAAGTTTTGCAATTTCAAGACTTAAGGAAATAAAATGAGTGTTTTATTAGAGCTGATAACAGTCTGTTTGAGGACAGGACTTAATTAATTCTGTGCAAGGTGGGGAAGTCAAGAAATCTGTGTTGTTGCTTCTTTTCTGGGATGTGAGCATGACAGACACGGTTAGTATTTGTTGTACGCCCTAGTTGCCCTTGAAATAAGTGGCTTGCTGGATCAATTTAGAGTGCATTTAAGAGTCAAACACATTACTGTGGTTCCGGTTTCACATCTATGCCAGAGCTAGTAAGGAAGGAAGATTTTTTCTTTCAAATCCAAATGAATTGAATTTAAATTCCACCAGCTGCTGGGGTGGAGTCTGAACATATATCTCAGAGCATTAGCCTGGGTTTCTGGATTGATAGACCAGTGACATTGCAAGTCGGCCACCATCTCTGGCTCCAGATTATGAAGGATATGGAAAATATCGGCCAATTAATAATCAGAACATCGTACATTGAAAAATGGTATTGTTGAAGTAATGCCTTTTCCATTTTATAATCTAAGAAATTCAGAGGTCCAGAAGCAATGACATACAATGTCACATCTGGAGCACAGCAAATTGCCCAACGCAAAGGAAACTTACAGTATTTAATGCATTTACTGTAGTATCATCACGAGATGCTGCAAGACAGCCATCTTCTGTAGATCCACCATCACACATCCCTGCAAAGGCAGCCATACTCCTGCATGCAAACACATTTTGCGTTATTCTGAATATAGCCTAAAGGAACATCTTAAAAGAGGAAAGTGAGATAGAGAAATAAAGAGGCGTGGGGAGGGAATTCCAGAACTTGCGACCTAAGCATCTGTAGGTATGAACACCAATGGTGGGTCAATTAAAATTCCATCAGGCAAAGTTCTCAATTTCTTGATTAGTCAAGCACCTGAGCAATTTGTTAGCAGCAAATATTATTTTATCATCATAGCTGTCAGAATGACTTCTTAGAGCTTACACATTTAATTAATTGGTATGTGATAGTATTTTAAATATCTCTCTACACTTACTATTATAACAGCCAAACTCATTGCACCATGGTTGGCTCTGCTGTACAGAAGAGGATAAAGAATGGTAATGCTATAGTAACAGGTGATTCAACAGCAAGAAGAACAGACAGATAGTTCTGTGGTTGCAAACAAGACTTCAGGATGTTTTGTTGCTTTCTAAGTGCTAGAGCTACAGGATATTCTGAGTTGCAAGGGTGAATAGCCAGTGGTAATGATACACATCAGCATTAATAACAAAAGAGAGGAGGTCCTAAAAGCAGAAGTTGGGGAGGTAGCAAGTACATTAGAAAATAGGATCTCAGGATTGATACCAGTGGCACATTATAGTCAAAGTAGAAATAGCATGCTATATTGGATGGATATATGGCCGAACAGATGGTGCAAGGGGGAGGGTTTCAGATTCCTGGGGCATTGGGACTGGTTCTGGTGGCACCAGGACAAGCTGGACGAGTTATACCTGGGCAGGACTGGAACTGATGCCCTAGAGGGTGTATTTGAAAGTATGGTCCAGAAGGATTTAAATTAAAATGGTAGGTGAATGGGAACCTATATAGGGAGATGGGTGACAAAAAACAGGAATGAAACAAAAGACAGAACAGGAAATAAGAATGGCGATGTGCAGAGAAATCAAAGGCTAGAATCAAGCAGAGCCACAACAAAGGGAGCATGAGAATGCTTAAAAAAAAAACAAGCATTATGGGTTTGTGCCTTAATGTGTGAAGCATTTGCAATAACATGCAATAACATGGATGAATCAGTCATGCAAGCAGATTTAAATGGGTACAAAAATAGTGGGGATTATAGAGATGGAGCTGCAGGGTGGTCTGGAGAAGGAACTGAATATCCAGCAATTTTCAGCTTTTAGAAAGGACAAACAAAAAGGGGAAAAAGGAGGTGGGGTAGCACTGCTGATTAAAGAGTATTAATGTTATTGTGAGGAAGGATATTAGTTCTGGTGAAGTAAAATTTGTATTGGCTGAGCTCAGAAACACCAAGGGGCAGAAAACGACAGGAGAGGTTGTATGTAAACCTCCAAACTGCAGCTGTAATGTTGAGGAAGGCATTAAGAAGAAATTAGAGATTCAGGTAATAATAGTATGGCTGTAATAATGGACAAATTCAATCCGTATACAGATGGAGCAAATGAAATCAGTAGCAACAAAGTAGAGGAGGTGGAATTTTGGGCGTGTAAAAGGGATAGTTTTCCGAATCAATATGTTGAGGAACCAATTCAAAAAAAGGCCATTCTTGACTGGGTATTGTGCAACAAAGAAGGGATAACTGACAATCCAGTTGTGCGTGGGCCCTTAGGGAAGGGTAACCACAACAGCAAAGAATTTTACACTAAGATAGAGAGCGACATAGTTGTTTCCAACACCCGAATCATGAATTTAATTCAAGGAAATCATGATGGTATGAGACGCAACTAGCTATGATAAATTAGAGATTATTGTTTCAAGGGATGACAATATATAGGCAAACATTTAAAAGGTGCGCGTGGCCAAATTTCAAAAGCTATTCATCCCAGCATGACATAAAAATAAAATGAGAAATGTCGTCACACTGTGGCCAACAAGGAAAATTAGGGATAGTTATAAATCCAAGGAAAAGGCATACAAGTTGGCTGTAGAAGTACTAAACCTGAGGGTTCGGACAGCGCAGATTCCAGCACATGAAGACAAAAAGACAGATTAAGAGTGGAGAAATAGAGTTTGATAGCAAACTTGAAGGGGCATACAAACCAATAGTAAAATCTTCTATAGATTTATGAAGAGAAAAAAGTTAGTAAAGATGAAAATATGTGCCCCACAGTCAGAAACAGGGCAATTTATAATGTAATGGGAACAAACAGATGGTAGACCAATTAAATATATACTTTAGTTCTGTCTTCTCAAATGAAGACACAAATAAAATTCCAAAGGTATCAGGGAGCACAGGGCCTAACAGGAAGGAGGAACCAAAAGAAATTAATGTTAGCAGGGGAATGATGTTGGGGAAACTAACAGGATTGAAGGCAAATAAATCCCCAGTGCCTGATAAACTTCATCCTAGATTAGTTAAACAAGTGGCCCGAGAAATAGCAGATGTGCTAGTGGTCATGTTCCAAAATTCTACAAGCTCTGGAACAGTTCCTATAGATTGGAGGGTAGCTAATGTAACCCCATTGTTTAAGGAGAGAAGCAGAAAGAAAACAACGAATTAGACTGATTAGCTTGACATCGCCAGTGGGAGAAATGCTAGAGTCCGTTATAAGAGTTGTAAATGCAGAGCACTAGGAAGATAATGACAAAATCAGACCAACTCAGCATGGATTTACAAAGGGGACGTCATGCTTAACAAATCTGCTGCAATTTAACTAATTGAGTGTAAGAGGAGAGCCAGTGGATGTGATTTACTTGTATTTTCAGAAGTCTTTTGATAAGATCCCTCATAAGAGATTTGCATGTAAAATTAAAGAACATGGTATTGGAGATTATGTACTGAAATGGATTGAGAACTAGTTGACACACTGGAATAAATGCACCTTTTTCCAAGGGGCAGGCAGTGATGCGTGGGATACCATAGAGATCCCAGCAATTCATAGTATATATTAATGATTGAGATAAGAAAAAAGTGTTTTATTTCCCAATCTGTAGATGATACAAAGTGGGTGGAAGGGTATGCAGTAAGGAGGATACAGAGAAGCTTCATCATGATTTGGGCAAGTGGACAAATATGTGGCAGATGAAGTAAAATGTGATAAATGCAAGGTTATTCACTTTGGTAGCAAAAACAGGCAGGCAAATAATATGAATGACAATAGATTGGGAAAACAGGAGGTGCAACAAGACCTGGAGGTCCTTATACACCAGTGCTGAAAATAAACATGGGGGTGCAGTATGAAGTGAAGGCAGCAAATGGTACATTAGCCTTCATATGAACAGGATTCAAGTACAGGAGCACAGATGCCTTGCTGTAATTCCACAGTGAATTGCTAAGATCACACCTAGAATATTGCGCGCAGTTTTGGTCTTATGAGTTTGGATGTTCTGGCTACTGAGGAAGTGTTTATCAGACGGATTCCTGGGATAGCAGGGACTGACATATGAGGAGAGAATGGATAATTTAGGACTATATTCTTTAGAGTTTAAACAGGGTGGGATCTCATAGAAGCCTATAAAATTCTTACATTAGACAGAATAGATACAGAAACAATGATCTCGATGATCAGAGAGTCCCGAAACTGCGATTACAGTGTAAGGACAGTGGGTAGGCTGTTTAGGACAGAGATGAGGAGGAATTTCTTCAGCCAGAGAGTGGTGAACCTGTGGAATTCTCTGCCCCAGGAAACTGCTAAGGCCAAAATATTGAAGACTTTCAAGAAAGATGTAGATATAGTTCTTACGACTAAATGGATCAAAGGACATGGAGTGAAAGCAGGGATAGGATACTGAGTTGGTTGATCAGCCATGACCATATTGAATAGTGGAGCAGGCTTGAAGGGCTGAGTGACCTACTCTTGCTCTTATGTTTCTATAATTAACCAATAGAATTAGGAATAATTTAGCATGTTAAAAGAAAAACAACGAAGAATCAATACAAGTGGTTGTACATGATTATTCCAATCTCATCAAACCAAATTGTAGTCTGCGCTTTTTCCCTCTTTTGCTTTTGAGACTCCCAATTTGGATAGCGATCAGTTGCAAGAACACTATGTGTTCCCCTAATCTTCCCCTAATCTTCCCATGCCAGGGCCCTGGAGCCAATTGTGGCCTCTCACTATTAGCCCAACAGGTAGGTGAACTCAGTACGTAACAGGGATTGATGAGGGCTTTTGAAGTGCAGTGGTAATGGCTACCTTTGGACCACAAAGCTCGGATTCAAGTCCCACCTGCTGCACAGGTGTATCACAACATCTCCAAACTGTTGATTAAAAATACCCAAAAAAGAGATTGAATGTTCAACCTTCCCATCTGTTAGGTGGTTCTTCTCCCTCTATCCCCATCTCTCCCACAAAAACCACCCTCTCCCCAATCTATTTCTAAGCTATATCACCACAGGTTTGGTTGTACTGTTCATTTATGATTTATTTGTAAATGTTACTTTCTGCTGACCCAATCATAGACATAAGGAACAAATCTTGTAATTACATCCACCATTATAAATTCTATTTCTATACAAGAAAACAGGTCCCCCCTTTCTTCTGCAATCCAGTACCATAGAGTCCTGAATGGAATTGTATGAATGATGCCTTTCATGTGGTTAGTTTCAGAGGGCATGGGCCAAAGCCAAAAATCACATTGCATGACCCAACACAATACGGTATGAGGGAGAGTTAGGGAATTGTGCCCCAAAATTGTACAGCTGAGGAAAACAGCTTCTATCAGCAAAACTAAATCAATCCATTATTTAATACATATAGAAATAATCAAGCATTTCTATTTGCATTTTCTTGCAGGCATGTAAAACAAAAGGAGCCAAACTACTTGTATTCTTTCAAAGTGTTGACGCAAGGGATGAAGTTTCTGGCACATTCTTACCTGGCAGCTCTTAGGTACATAAGAAGATCACAATCATTGACACCCGGTGTCCAGACCAGCTCCTCATGTTCAGTTACCATTTCACCAGTGGACAGGGGAACAGGCTTCAATTCTGGAAGTTTAGCCTAAAAAAAGTTTAATTATCAATGTTTTTCAACACAAAAGTAGAAGAGTTTCATGACCAGGAATAATCTAAACCAAAGAATCTCTTCAGAACAAATAAAAAAAAAACAAAAAGTGAGTCAAGAAGGCAAATAAACAAAATTATCAATTCACAGAATAATTAACAATGAGGATGGCTATTTGGCTCATCTTGGTTCATTCATCTGAAAAGGACAAAGTGCTCCACTGTAGCACCCATTTTGATCTTAAATGCATCCAAAGTCTTTGTCTTGAATAATTCACCTGAGATTCTGTTCCTGATGTTGATCATTCATGTCTGAAGAACATATCATCCATAATTTTCCTTTGAGTTAAATGAATGTGAGACCCTTTGTCATTCTCTATAAAGTAGTTTCTTTCTGAAGAAGGGTCCCGGCCCGAAAGCTCAACTTTCCTGCTCCTCCGATGCTGCCTGGCCTGCTGGGCTCTTCCAGCTGCACAGTATGTTATCTCAGACTCCAGTATCGGCAATTCTTACTACCCACTTCCTGTATTATTGTTGGTATAAAATTTACTCCATTTCAAAAGGTTAAAATCTCCTACATATATTTTCAAAGGGTAAATAATCCCAAGATTTACTGGTCCTTCCTTACAGCTCTACCACTCTTTGGTTCTTTCTTGCAGTACCTCCTTTATGATGAGGCAAAATGAACTGATCACACTATTCTGGCCCTGGTTTTGCCAGGGCACTTTAGACTCTGATCATGACTTCTTTTGATTTTTATTCTACATACATACAAACAACAGCCAGAAAACGATCCTCTGGCCCATCCAAATCGTCCTACATAATTTCCTATCCCCTACTTTACAACCAAATACCGGGCATTTCTTTAGAGTGATCTGTGAACCAGGAATGCATACAAGCTTACATGTAGTCCCCCTTTGATCTTTGGGTCTTTTCAATTTAAAAATAACTCATAGCTTAACATAATGTTTTAAACAAGATAAAATGTTAGTTTATAACACAGCTATTGATGAAATTTCATTCCATAAAAAGTGGTTTGCTATTGTCTAAACTGTTTAAAGTAAGGAAGGGATAAAATTTACTTATGAAGTTTGAAAATTAAATCAATTCCAAATATTGTTCAAGGCTTGGCTTGCTTTAACATTCTCCTTTTGAAGTGAAGGTGGCCAGATTCAGCAAATATGATGGTTTCTCTTGTCAAATTGGCAGTTTGCTTCTGACAGTGGACTCAGTAGTTACAGCAGTTTCAGGGTTGAAAACAAAGGCCCCTTTGCTTAACCGGTCCTACTACGACAACACTTGAAAATTTTCCGAAAGCGGAGCAAGGAATTCTGTGCACTATCCTTTGTAACTTGCACAGGCAAAGAGAAAACCTAACATTCACTTGCTGTTTACAATTAGTTCAGCCAGGTGTGGTGACTGGAGCTTTCTACACAGATTCTCACAAGATTTATGCACAACATGGTTATTCTCAAGATAACAAGGTGTAAAGCTGGATGAACACAGCAGGCCAAGCAGCATCAGAGGAGCAGGAAGGCTGACGTTTCGGGCCCAGACCCTTCTTCAGAAATGGGGGAGGGGAAGGGGGTTCTGAAATAAATAGGGAGAGAGGGGGAGGCGGATAGAAGATGGATAGAGAAGATAGGTGGAGAGGAGAGAGACAGGTCAAAGAGGCGGGGATGGAGCCAGTAAAGGTGAGTGTAGGTGGGGAGTTAGGGAGGAGATAGGTTAGTCCAGGGAGGACAGGCAGGTCAAGGGGGCGGGATGAGGTTAGTAGGTAGGAGATGGGGGTGGGGTTTGAGGTGGGAGGAAGGACAGGTTAGGGAGGCGGGGATGAGCTGGGCTGGTTTTGGGATGCGGTAGGGGGAGGGGAGAGTTTGAAGCTCGTGAAGTCCACATTGATACCATTGGGCTGCAGGGTTCCCAAGTGGAATACGAGTTGCTGTTGCTGCAACCTTCGGGTGGCATCGTTGTGGCACTGCAGAAGGCCCAGGATGGACATGTCCTCTGAGGAATGGGAGGGGGAGTTAAAATGGTTCGCGACTGGGAGGTGCAGTTGTTTGGTGCGAACTGAGTGTAGGTGTTCTGCAAAACGGTCCCCAAGCCTCCGCTTGGTTTCCCCGATGTAGAGGAGGCCACAACGGGAACAGCGGATGCAGTATACTACATTAGCAAATGTGCAGGTGAACATCTGCTTGATGTGGAAAGTCTTCTTGGGGCCTGGGATGGGGGAGGTGTAGGGGCAGGTGAAGCACTTCCTGCGGTTGCAGAGAAAAGTGCCAGGTGTGGTGGGGCTGGAGGGGAGTGTGGAGCGGACAAGGGAGTCACGGAGAGAGTGGTCCCTCCGGAAAGCAGATAAGGGTGGGGAGGGAAAAATGTCTTTGGTGGTGGGGTCGGATTGCAGATGGCGGAAGTGTCGGAGGATGATGCGTTGGATCCGGAGGTTGGTGTGGTGGTACGTGAGGCCGAGGGGATTCTGTTTTGGTTGTTATTGCGGGGAGGGGGTGTGAGCGATGAGTTGCGGGAAATATGGGAGACACGGTCGAGGGCGTTCTCGACCACTGAGGGGGAGAAGTTGCGGTCCTTGAAAAACGAGGACATCTGAGATGTACGGGAGTGGAATGCCTCATCCTGGGAGCAGATGCAGCGGAGGTGAAGGATTTGGGAATAGGGGATGGCATTTTTGCAGGAAGGTGGGTGGGAGGAGATGTATTCCAGGTAGCTGTGGGAGTCGGTGGGCTTGAAATGGATATCGGTTTCTAGGTGGTTGCCAGAGATGGAAACAGAGAGGTCCAGGAAGGAGAGAGAGGTATTGGAGATGGTCCAGGTGAACTTAAGGTTGGGGTGGAAGGTGTTGGTGAAGTGGATGAACTGTTCGAGCTCCTCGTGGGAGCATGAGGCGGCACCGATACAGTTGTCAATGTAATGGAGGAAGAGGTGGGGTTTAGGGCCACTGTAGCTACGGAAGAGGGATTGTTCCACGTAACCTACAAAGAGGCAGGCATAGCTTGAGCCCATGCGGGTACCCATGGCCACCCCCTTTGTCTGTAGGAAGTGGGAGGAATTGAAAGATCCGTAGCTACACTGGCCCGAAACGCCACCTCTTCCTCCGTTACATTGATGACTGTATCGGTGCCGCCTCGTGCTCCCACGAGGAGCTCGAACAGTTCATCCACTTCACTAACACCTTCCACCCCAACCTTAAGTTCACCTGGACCATCTCCAATACCTCTCTCTCCTTCCTGGACCTCTTTTTTTAATGATCCGGCGACCACCGAGAAACCGATATCCATTTCAAGCCCACTGACTCCCACAGCTACCTAGAATACATCTCCTCCCACCCACCTTCCTGCAAAAATGCCATCCCCTATTCCCAAATCCTTCACCTCCGCTGCATCTGCTCCCAGGATGAGGCATTCCACTCCCGTACATCTCAGATGTCCTTGTTTTTCAAGGACCGCAACATCCCCCCCCCTCAGTGGTCGAGAACGCCCTCGACCATGTCTCCTGCATTTCCCGCAACTCATCCCTCACACCCCCTCCCTGCAATAACAACCAAAACAGAATCCCCCTCGTCCTCACGTACCACCCCACCAACCTCCGGATCCAACGCATCATCCTCCGACACTTCCGCCATCTGCAATCTGATCCCACCACCAAAGACATTTTTCCCTCCCCACCCTTATCTGCTTTCCAGAGGGACCACACTCTCAGTGATTCCCTTGTCCACTCCACACTCCCCTCCAGCCCCACCACACCCAGCACTTTTCCCTGCAACCGCAGGAAGTGATACAACTGCCCCTAAACCTCCCCCCTCACCACCATTCCAGGCCCCAAGAAGACATTCCACATCAAGCAGATGTTCACCTACACATCTGCTGATGTGGTATACTGCATTGGCTGTTCCCGCTGTGGCCTCCTCTACATCGGGGAAACCAAGCGGAGGCTTGGGGACCACTTTGCAGAACACCTACACTCGGTTCGCAATAAACAACTGCACCTCCCAGTCGCGAACCATTTCAACTCCCCCTCCCATTCCTCAGACGACATGTCCATCCTGGGCCTCCTGCAGTGCCACAACGATGCCACCCGAAGGTTGCAGGAACAGCAACTCATATTCCGCTTGGGAACCCTGCAGCCCAATGGTATCAATGTGGACTTCACGAGCTTCAAAATCTCCCCTCCCCCTACCGCATCCCAAAACCAGCCCAGCTCGTCCCCGCCTCCCTAACCTGTCCTTCCTCCCACCTATCCCCTCCTCCCACCTCAAGGCCCACGCCCATCTCCTACCTCCTAACCTCATCCCGCCCCCTTGACTTGTCCGTCCTCCCTCGATTAACCTATCTCCTCCCTAAATCCCCACCTACACTCACCTTTACTAGCTCCATCCCCGCCTCTTTGACCTGTCTGTCTCCTCTCCACCTATCTTCTCCTCTATCCATCTTCTATCCGCCTCCCCCCCCTCCCTATTTATTTCAGAACCTCCTTCCCTTCCCCCATTTCTGAAGAAGAGTCTAGGCCTGAAACATCAGCCTTCCTGCTCCTCTGATGCTGCTTGGCCTGCTGTGTTCATCCAGCTCTACAGCATCTGCAGTTCCTACTATCTCTGAGATATGGTTATTCTCAACTTGGCTTTTGTACAATTCAAAATTTAAACATGACGAGTTATGTTTGGGTTCCACCAGGCCCACTCAACTCCTGATCCCATTTAAGCATTGGTTGAAACGTGGACAAAAATCTTAAATTCCAGAGTGGGAGAGACATCATGGCAGCATTTTACATTCAAACTCATTATCCTTGAACTGAGTGGTTTGGAAGGCGATCACAGAGGGTAGTTGAGAATCAATCGCATTGATGTCTCTGGAGTTACATGTAGGTTACACAAGGTAAGAGTGGCAGGTTGCCTTCCCTAAAAGGCTTTAGTGAACCAGATGGATTTTTACAAAAAAAACCGAGTGCAGTTTGATGGTCACCGTTGCTGAAACTAGCAGGTTAAAA